CCTGGGCCCCCTGCATGGTGCTACAGCCCCCCCAAGATCCATCTCTCATGGCTTGTACCCTGGGCTTTGTGCTCTCCCTCTGAGTGGGTGCAGTAGCTGGAAGGGAGGCACAGAGGACAGGCCGTCAGTCACTCCTGAGGATCTAATTCTCAAGTGACCCCCATGGCCATGGGCTCCTTGGCTGCGTAACCCAGGGCCTGTACCACCACACAGTATCTCAGCACCCCCAGCCATGCAGCTGGGAAGGGGCTGGGCACAAGCCAGCTCCGGGTGCTAACGAGTCAATTAGTCTCCTGAGGCTCCTCCTAGACCAACATAGGCACTTGCTTGTAATATGTATCACATTGATGCTTTATGTATAACTTTCTCTTACAAAGACCGCAGTAACAAAGTTTGGGAGTGATGCTGCTGAGGCTGCCTGATGTTGCTCTGCTGACACCGTCCTCTGGCACGCTGCCCGTGCTCACCCTCCCCGCAGAACTCCCCAGCAAGTGGTAGCAGCTCTTGACACCTTTTTTTGTCATGGATCAGGTCCACACCGAAGTAGAAGAGGACAAGTCATGAGAAACCTTGCAGCGGCCTTTGACACCAGCCTGATCTAGGAATGAAACACTTGTTTTAACTTGCAAACGTGCAACAGCCACCTCAGGCTTTCCTACCCCACCAGAGAAACGGAGGGATGGGAAGGGGCTCCCAGAGCACATGCGGGCAGGTCCTGACGGCTTTGGGAGTGACTCATAAGGAACACTGTAGACTCAGATTAAATGCAACATGTTTTATTTGAGGTTGGAATAAATTACAACTGTAAAGCGTAATTTATTGCTTTATAAATTGTCTGCTCTTAAAAGGCATTAATATCAAACATAAACAAAACAAAGACATTTGATTAGCAGTTCAGTTGTCTTAAGCTTCATGAACAGCTCAGTAGGGGGATTTCATTCTGTATACGATTGAAATCTCGGATCACAGGCTCACAAACTTGACTTCAACACGCATTATCATCATTCAGACACGTTGAGGGGACTGTAGATGCATTCATTTGCTTTAGGATATAATTTTTATTGCATTTTTCCCTGAAATAACCCATTGAATACCCAGTCCTTCATTCTTCACTCAGATACAAATCCCGCTGGTTTCAAAAATCTAATTTAAAAGATGTGTGGGGTTTTCTACCCTTGCAGAAGGTGGACTTCCAAATCGAAACCAAGAACGAGTCTGGTCCCAAAACCAAGTGCAAAACAAATTCCTCCTAGGTTAAGATACTGAAATCTCATGCACAAAAAACCAAAAGTGTCCTCCCATTCTGAAGATTCTTGCCAAAAAATCCCAGCATTAACTGAATGATCTGATGTAGATAATTTGTATTTTTATTCTACAGTTAACTCCACACCTAAGACCAGTATGAATTTTGCTCAGCACCTGTACGCCTCTAGGATGTAGACCCTGGCAAGTCCAGCCTGCCCTGAGTCCTGGGGGCTAAGGGGATGCTCACAGGAGGCAGCGGGCCCTGGGCTGCAGTACCCAGCCCGCAGCGCGTAGACGCTGTGACACAACAAGCTGGATGTGGCCAGCTCCAGCTAGGTATGACAGGTAGAAGGAAGGTCAAAATGTCACTTCAGTGACCTCCTGGCGAGTCACAGCTCCTGAACATCGGGAGCGAACACTGACGGGCAGCTCTCACTGCGCTGCACAAAAGGATTCCACCAAGGCATCCTGCCCTGCTCTGACCCTCTCGCACTGCAGGGGCCAAGTGCTCCCCCTGCCTCGGCTCCAGAACAGCGTCTGCCCGAGGTATTCCCTGAGCAAGGACTGAGCACCGCTGCTCTTGCTTTCCCATCCGGGTCCAAAGCAGCACAAAGTGAACTCACTTATGTTCTGCATTACACCAGAGGTAAAACTGTTCAGAAACAGAACCAGAGATTCCCATCACAGCTGGGCTTGGAGCAACTCAGAAAGTTTTTAGAGAAAATCTCCAGGGCGGCTTCTCTTCCAGACGCAAAACTAACTTTAAAAATAATGAGCCAGCGGTACAGAAAATCATTCTAAAACTCGCTCAGTACTGCTCAGGAAGTTCCTCTCTAGAGAAGGGTTTCTTCTCATACCAGCCTCTACTGTTGTCATGCCTACAGGACTGTCAATAGCTGAGTGAGATGCTAGGACATGTTATGCTTTATTACTGACTAGGAATGGTTAAGTCTATTACTGGATCCAAGAAATACCTAACAAACTTCAAGGAAAATACTATTACATCGATCCTGGTGAGATTTCAGTTTTCAGTAAAATATCATCAGTAATGTACATATCTTCTGTATGCATAATGTTACTCAAAAAAAACCCCAGCAAACAAACTTTTTTTCTTCTAAACATGGTTGCCTCTGAAGATGTGTTTCTGTTGTGCTGTGAGGGATGGCCAGCTCCGATCTCTGCGAGGCGGGACAGCAGGTTCCAAGTGCTGCACTTGCCCATAATGGCTCCCAACAAGTCAAGCACCACGACAGAGCTTTGGCGGGAGGCCAGGAGCGTGCACGGCCATACCCAGAGCGGTACCAAACTGGACCAACTGTTCAGCATTTTTCAGTGTCCTCCTCATTCAGGGACTGGACAACCCCGGGTTAGCTCCCAGCCACATGGTAAAGTGCTTAACGGAGGGGTGGGGAACAAACACTACAGCCCCTTCCTCCACCTCATGCCTTGGGAGAGGCTCGCTGACGGTGGCTTCGTGGCTGCTTTGCACCTGCAGGACACGCTGCAGCTGGGACGAGGGCATGCCTGTGGTGTGGGCCTGATTCATCCCCATCCTAGAGAGACATAACTCAGAAACGTGCGAGCTTTTGAAATCATCAGTCATCCCATTTACGCTCATCTAGAACAGATTCTTGGCTGACTTATTTCCTTAGCACTTCTGAATTTTTCTTTGAAGATGAGAAGGAGGAAAGCTCGCCTTCAGGGAGAGGGACAAGCAGAGACACTTGCAAATTAAAATGCACGCACATGTCACCCACCACAGCAGTGACCTCCTGTCTGCACTTTACAGCACAACATCTTATTATCTTGAAACTTAATTTCTCATCCCTTTTCAAAGGTTCCCGTGAGCATTCTTTTCTGTGTCAGTGAGATGTCCCAGGGGACTCTACAGAGAAAACTAATGAGAGAAAAAACCCTGTTGTCACCAGGACAAGCTACAGGGTTACATTCAGGCCACAGACTCTGGAGGAGCAGGACAGGGATCAGACTTACTCCATTTTCTGGTGCAAGTGCCACACCAAGCAGCAAGATGAGCACACAGTGAGAAGATGGGCCTATGGTTAATGCACTGGGCTGGGATTTGGTAGATGGAGTTAATTCACCTTGCCCTTGTTCTTGAGGCGATAAGAAAAAGGAAACAGTTTATATTAACTTCAGGCTGCTCAAACATTCCCAGCTCAGCAAATCCCCCCAGAATATTTCTCCTCTCTTAGTAGTTCCTAACAGCTTATGCATTACCCCCCTCAGACAAAGCACACCAGACAGAAATCGTCTAAGGAATCACACTTCTAGGTAAAAAAGGGCCAACAAACTTCAGGATTGCTACATCTTGGCTAAGGCTCATTTACCCATCTGCAAAGCCTCTTACCCCTCCTGATCCTCACTCCCGAGCTGCCCGTTTGCTGTGCGCTTGTAGCCAGAGAGAGCAGATCAAGAGCTCTTAAATCCACTCACATCTTTATTTCTAATTCACTGGCTTTTGCCTCCGGCAAGGCACTCAGGCTAGCACTGCCTTAGGGGTTTCTGTTTACAGGGGTTGCTGTGTAAAGCACCTTCTAACTGACAGGGGACCAGGCTCCTACTGAATTGAAAAGCAAATGGGACGACCAGTGAGTGCATCTGAAAGCAAAGCTGTTAGCTGACAGAGTTTGCTCACAGGAAGGGCAGTGTTCAGCCACCCTACCAAAATATGGCAGGCATATTAATTAGTGGTTACAAAAATGCTCTAACTTTTCACAGACCTCTGTAAGTGCTGAGCATTTCAATTGGCAGGAACAGCCATGCCTGAGAATTCAGTGTATTGTTAGAAACTGACATTTTCCCCTCCTACAGTCCTTCCTGTCACAAAGTGGCTCATGGAAACAAACAAGTGTCTATATTGTGATTTTACCAAGGGAGGAACTGGCTGAATCAGACCCATGGAGCAGATGAATGCCTTAGTCAAGTGAAAACTAAATCACTTGACACCAGGCTCAGTGCTCCATATCCCCCTGCCACCAGAGATTACTAAATAGGGGACACAGATAATCCCCCAAAGGAACTGATGCATCACGAAGGGCAAAGAGCCTCTGAAGCTATGCATAATGGCATAAAGCACAGCATAAGCATATTAAGTGTTTAGCTCTCTCTCTGGTTCTCTGTTGTGAGGGCAGTGGGTTGCTCGGACAGTTGTCACTGGTCAACCTATTACGTTATTTCCTATGGAAATGCAGGTAAAGGTGTGTGCGATTTAGTAGTAGAACGCGAGTTTGGTTTTACATGGGCTGAAAGAATGTTTCTTATATGCAAATGAGGTTTTTGCAAGCATCTGCATACTCACCCAGATGCTGCCTCTGCCGTGCTCCATGCCTGAGTTTCACGCCAGGTTTGCTCTGCGTAGCAGGCATATCATACGCACACAGTGACCTGGTACAAGAGCACATTCTGCAGGCCAAGTCTCAGGCAAAAATTCACCAACAAAACCTAAGTGTGTTGGTAGTTTTTTGCAGTGAATCGGGCTTTCACTAGGAATTAACATAAGCTGCAAGAACTAATCTTATACTCTGTGCTCTCGCTTATTTTCTTTTCACAGTTCAACCACCTTCCTCCTTAATACTAAAATGCTAAAGTCTTACATAGCATTCAGAGCATTATTTTCTGCTGGCTGTGTTTCTCTATGCTCTAAGCCTCTATCACAATGCATGCAAAGGATAATGGCTGAATTTTTACTGCTTTTAACTAAAAAAATACTTTTAAAAACATAAACCATAAATTATTTATTCTTCTTTGTCCATTGTTTTAAGCACTGAGTCTTCTCCCAAGATTTTACACAGTTCATTCAGTCTCTGCTGCATTTTAGGAATTCCTGCAAGTTGGGATTCCAGTCTTTGTTTTTCCTCACTCAGTGATAAACGGATAGCGGTGTCCAACTGCTCGAAACGCCATCCGCCTTGCCCATCAAACTGCAGCAAGTGAGTGTGGTACTTCCTGCGGTAGAAATTAAAACATTAGTAACGGCTCAGGGAACAGATGGTTCGTTTTTGCACGCAAATTTGGATGTCTGTGTCTCTTTTCAATGGTGACTCTCAGGAAGTTGCGAGTTGTCCAGTTTTGGATCACTGGGTAAGACTTTTTTTTGTTCTAACCCACGAGTCCCAGTTTATTTTATTTACCTTGCTTTCTGAGAGACATTTGACCTTCGTAGCAGAAAATACATTCAGGGAGGCACGGTGCACCTGATGCTACTGATAAAACTCCAGTTTGTTCAAATTACACCTCAATTTGTACCCCTGCATTGTACAAGGTTGGCTAAAGAAACCTCCAGTCCTAAAACATGGTTCAGTTTGCAAGGGGCCAAAATAAAAAAGTCTGTGTAGGAGTCAGAGATACTTCAGTGAGTATCAGGGTGTGTGCACCGAAAATATTCAAAGGTGTACATGTGGAGTTTGTCAAGACCTGACAAGACATTTATCAGGAGGTGCAAGTGGAAGAGCAGAGAGTTATGTCTCTGTCATTTATCACTATAAATTATAGAAGATGAAATGCATCATAAAACAGTGCTTATAAATCCCATCCAGGGAATGTGACAGTTTAATAAACTCAATAGCTTACGACACCAGATTCAAAAGAGATTAAAGTCCAGGCTTATATTCATCATTTCTTGCATATAACTCTTTGTGATACCAAATGCTTAACCCAGCCCTCTAGTTCTCCCCCACCAGAAAAACCCTCAAAATTCAGGAAGCTGAGATAACTGAGACATTCAATGCTTGTGGTCTAGGAAAGTAGCCAATGTTTTGATTAAAAAGCAAATATTTCCCAGTATAATCTTAAGGAGAAGAAAACAGCACGTGAACCCAGTTTTTGTCTATGCAGTGCAGTCCCTATGGAAGCATACCTAATGCTTATTTCTAAATACTCAGCACTTCTCTTTACTTCTCCAGAACCCCACAAATCACCAGATTTCTAATAATTTCAGTAATACTGCGGAGGTTACAAGAGCAATCTGAAACCTTCTTGAATAGCACTAGTACTAGGAAACAAGAAATGTTGGTAAGAAACTGAACTCAGGACATCTTTCTCACAAGCTCTTTTGCATAACTTCCCTCTGCGTCATCATTACATATAGGTGAGACAATCTCAAATATCTGTTTTCTTGAGCAGTGGTTTTAAAATGCAAAACTTTTCTTTTTAAGTGTACTTGAAATTATTTAAAAACCAAATCCCTATATGATTTTTTCTCCTGTCAGAATATCCACTTTTTCTTAACTTTTAGGTCTTGATCCAAAAAAAGCTATTTCCACTGTCACCATCTACACAGAGGAAGAAGGAATGTTGGGGAAGCCCTTCTTTTTCAGAGAAGCAGACACTGTTACAATTTCTTTCCTTTGAGGCAACAGACTGGTAATGGATTTTTTGTCATCAGTTTAAAAAAAGCAAACAATCTGACAGTAGAGATCAAGGAGTTCAGAACAAACAGTCTGTGCTAATCTCAGCTTACACCTTCTTGATCTCCTTTTGCCTTTTAAAGCATTCGATTGCTTTATATATTCAATAACCACATTTATTTCAACCTGATCTGGTGGAAGGCGTCCCTGCCTGTGGCAGAGGAGTTGGAACTAGATGATCTGAAGGTCCCTTCCAACCCAAACCATCCTATGATTCTATGATTATTTTCTTTGAGGGACTCTTCCATACTCAGCACTCCTTCACTGTTTCTCAGACTTTCAGCATTTCTTTTTTTAATAGACAATAAAATTTTGAAAGCTCAGAAACCCTGCAGATAGAGGACACAACTGAAGTTAAAACACCAGACACATTATTCCTAATGAAGAATAAAGAGGAGTCTAACCACTTGCCATGTTTCCCATCTTCTCTTTGCACTGGTAAACTTCCCCAGGTCAGCTCTTGTGTCTTGTCACCTTTACAGAATAAACTGCTGATACCTGCTGTGGTTGTGGTGTGGTGGACTAATTAATTGCTTCTTAGATACCTGCATGTTGCTATTAAAAGCTAATAACTGAAATACATTTAAAAAAAATAAGAGGGAGGAATAAATATGTGTCAAAGAATGAAAAAAAAATCAATGCTAAATGCACTTACATCACTATTATTTTAGACAATTTATCTTAGAAAGTGCAGTAGATATTGATTAAACACCTGCCCTAGTACAAAGAAAAAAGGCCAACCTACTGCCTGTCAAAAAGCTAAAAGCAAGGACCTTGATAAATCCCTGAACATACTTACCAAAGAGAAGGTCTGTGTGTTATAGAAAGCAGGGATATCCCAGCAGCTTTTGCAGCTTGGAATATCTTTCCTTCGACATCAATGCTTACAGCACTCGTGCATTCATCCAGCAGTGCGTATTTCGGCCTTTCAAAAGCAGATAAATAACATTACACTTATTCCCATGTATGATGTTAATTGAAAGAACAATAGAAAGGAGAGAGCTATTTTTGCCAGACAGGTGTCTCTCACCTACAGCTGGAAACTGGCTAGCAATGACGTAAAGTTTCCATGTCTTCAGGTGCAGAGCCAGCCTTGAGGAAAAATGAGTTTTACCTCCTGGTCCATCTGAGCGCACAGCGATCTAGTTTCTGTATTCTAGTCTGACCTGTCAACTCAGAAACTATCTAACCACTGCTGTGTATGGACTGGGCTGCCTCCACGTGCTAGCAGTCTCCAGAACCAAAATCCGAGCTCCCACAGCCTCTGCAGCAGCCCACCAGACTTCTGCAATATTTGCAGGACAGGTGTAGAGATGTTTGTGTCTGAGATGTTAAAGAAAGCGACATCTGGGAAATGTAATGCTATGTTGCCAAAAGCAAAGTTTAAGTAAGCAGCATTGCCCAAACTAAAAGCAGAGCTTGTAAGGAATAAGCGACAAGGTTGCTGGTACTACGCAACCATCTGGCAGTATTGCACATTGCATGGAGATTATAGTCAACTACTGCTCCAACTATGAGAGCAAACCTGTCAAACTCTTCCTCATTTTCAGATGCTACTTAAAGAATAAATACAAATTCTTACTTATGGTAAAACATCCGAGCCATGCCCATCCTTTGCTTTTCTCCTCCTGATAAGACATCTTTCCAATCCATGATGGCATCCCAACCTTTTAAAAAACCAAAAAAGGCAACAAAAAGTGTCAGAACAATGTAAGTATATGAAGGAAATGCAGCTTCACTTGCAACTTCTCTGCAATCTGAAACCAAAATCATAAAGAGCATTCCCACTGCAGAACAGAAAGCTCAGGGTTCTGGATCACATCTTCTGAAATATCTCAATGCATTTCCACTGGCACTTAACTGGAAAAATGTCTCAAATACCATGTAAATTTTGAAAGTGGAATTTAACATCCTTGGTTATGTAGGTATTGTCAAAAAACTTTACTTACCATCTCTCTGAAAGAACATCTTTTACCTTTGTATAACTAATCATTTTATTCTGTCATATTTGCTTTATACAATAATTTGTTATTCTTTCTTGAAAGGTGTCTGAGTGGAAATTCAAAATCAAATTCAACGAAGTAAAGTGTAAAAAACATAAAAACCAGTGCTGGACTCCACTCACTACTGTTAGAATCGTAGAATTGTATTAGCTGGAAGAGACCGAGAAGATCATCGAGTCCAGCCTTTGTCCCAGCCTTATCAACCTACTAAACGATTCCCCTCAGTGCAACACCCACTGGTCTCTTAAACACCTCCAGGGACAGCGACTC